AAATGGCTCCTTCCCTGCCGTCAACCATCCATTCACCTGCGCGAGCACGAACCCCATAACATAGCTACCACTCCCAATCCTTGAAACACCCAACTTCCCACCGGCCAAATCCTCTACACGGTCAATCCCTTGCTGCGTCCCGGTAGAAATTGCCCAGCACAGCGGCGTGGAAACGTACTTGCCCGCAAGCTTGAAGTCGGTGTTGCCGTTCGCGATCGCCGAGATCCAACCTTCAGTTAGGCCAATTGCGATGGAGATTTCACCAGAAGAGAGGGATTTGATCATGTGCCCTGTGCCAGAAGGGAAGGGAATTAGGGCGACTGAGAGAGAGCGGGAGGTGAAGAAGCCATGGGCTTCGGCAAAGTGGAGAGGGGTGGAGAAGTGCTCTGTAAATTGTTTGTTTGTTAGTATAGTAATTCTATATATAAGGAGGAAGATTAGGAAGTAGCTAACCCGGAACATATCCCACTTTAATGCTCATTTTTACTAAAATTTTGGTGTTTTGGTGATGGTTTAGAGCGTTGGCAAGTTAGTTGGATTGTGATTCTTAAGTTTTGTTGTACCGGTACTGTACTCGTATCGGTAGCGGGGTTGTTGCGGGTATTGCCGGATGACGTAGAATTAACAAGGAGTTTAGCTTGGGCTTGGGAAGGTTCATCGGGTGTCACTCGGTTAATAGGTCAGTTGGCCATGATGCGATTCCTCTCCAGAGTCGGAAAATCATCACCAGTAATAGCAGCAGGGTGCCACTGAAGATGTAGAAATGCAGTGTTTGCCTGAGAATCGCATGGTTTTTCAATAACAGACTCATAGCCCTGTTTGAGCAGAGGTTTGGAAGTTCAGGTTTCGAAATTCTGAGCCCAAGTCGTATTGGGTTGTGGTTCATCGCTAGTATGGCACAGTTATACCACAGCTATACCACAGCTATGTCACAGTAGAGCCATACCTGCTGTCTAAGCAAGAAAAATTACTAGAACTTGTTGTTAACTAGTGTTTGCTCCAGGCAAGAAGAGATAATACTATTAAACACCTCCATTAAACTCGGTCCCACTATAACGTCCTTATACCCCTGACGAGATTGCACCCAACGCGAGATTCCTGACTAATAAATCGCTGATCACTCTGAGAGTTGGCTTTAGAAGAAAAGAATCCGGCGGGGGGTGCAATCTCGTGAGGGGTGTAAGGACGTTATATGGAGAACTAGAGACTTCATTCCTGATTCTGTACGATGTAGCACCATTCGGGGGTCCGTGTCTCAAAGCTTGCTTCTGGGGTTTTGAGTAAATAGAGCTTCGGGGTCCTCCAGTTAGCTAAATTTCAGTCTCAGAAGTTAGTAGTCAAGACCAAAAGGCAATACCTAGTATTACATAGCTTATCCAGAACCCCCTAACGACCATGATTTGCGATAGTAATCATCAACTATGGTCTACTGGAAGAGTCTTTGGAAGATAATTCCATTTTCGTATTCCCTACTGTTGTGCCTCCTTCAAAAGAACAGGAGAAAGAGAGTGACAACTGATCCAACAAATATCTCTAACTCATTCCTACCTTCCAAGTTGATGCTTAGGGACCAGATATCACACCAACCTGCTCAGGTTCGACATTTCAAACAGACTCCTCAGTGAGTGATGCCACATGATATCAGTATCAGTCCCTCACGTACTGTACTATTTGTAACCCTAGAATTATTTTTAGCCCTGAATCTTAAACTAACTTCTTGATTCTAAGTCCTATTTCCTCTCCATTGAAATTTCCAATCCTTCCAGCTGGTCTGTCTGTATAAAGAAGCTTCCCTCTCCCATTCTTCCCCTCATGCATACAGGGGAGAGCTACCTGGCTGGCCATCCCTCTTGGAGTGACCCTAATCACCCTCCTCTTTACAGCTTCTGCAAGCTTGAAAATGAGACATTCAAGCATGCTATTCTTCACTGCCCCTCCAAAGTCCAAGGAATGCCTTCTCCACCTCTCAGGAGTAGATGATATCAGGCCTAACTCACTCCTCTGAAGCTGCGGAGACCTGATCATAGGCCTTGCTTTCTACCTTCAAGTTCATACTACTTAAATGAATTTCCCCCCAAGTATACTATTGGCCACATCAACCACAATGCCTCCTATGTCTGAGAGCAGCTCTAATTAGGACCACTGGCACTCTTCATGTCTCACCTTTGCCTTTCCTTTGTCTAACTAATGATAGATGAGATTTCTTTACTTTTGATTTGATTTTCTTTGTTGAGTTGGAGGATTTCTTTTATTTCTTTACTGGCTTCAGTAGTCACCATGTCAGGCACAGTAATGATATTGTCACATCAGGAGAGATTAATTTCAGTTATTTCTTTTGTTTGAAGTTTTGAGATTAACATTTCATTTCTGCCATAGCTAAAGCTGCATGCATTTTTCTGTACATTAATAACCATCTCTCTCCACAACCATGACCACATACACAAACACAATGCTCAATGTTTTTTATTATTATCCTTTTTAAACATTGTGCTAATATCATACCTCAGAGAATATAGATCTCAGGAACCAACTTCAGGGTCATTGAGTTATAATATCTACTTATGTACTGTACTACATTTTTGAGAAGTGCGATCTGATCATCTGATAAGTGATCTGATCGGGTGGCTTCCTTCTTTCCTCCCTTCTGCTCAAACCTCCCGTCCCTGGCAAGCCGGGCGGAAGAGAAGAAAGGAAGAAGGAAAGAAAGTTAAAAGGGAGTTAGCGAAAGGCTTACATGAGTGAGCTCTTGCACTCGAGGTCTCGAGCGAGCACTGCTAGTTATATTGTAATATAGTATAGTATAACACCCAACGACCTCAAAAACGAGCATGACTGGGGGGTGCTAAGAAGTACCAGACAGACCTAGGGCAAAGGAAACATTTCGGAAGCCATGTGGTTGATACATGGGGGCATTACTGGTTATGTGTAATATGCGCTCCACAGTTTCTTTTCACTATAAAAGATGACTAACTTGCCTGATGATACTAGATGGATAATAGTTAGAGATATATAATTGGGCAGAAATGCCGCACTTCAGAGCACTATCCGACCCCCAGCGGGTAGGCCAGTAGAAGGGCCAGAAACTAATATGTAAGTAATTTCCGTACCCCTTCTATTCGCTTTATCCCGAGAATTGTGCTCGTGTTTGTGGTAGTTATTCTTATTACTTGTGGTTTCATTAATCTCTGATGGAAAAGCTTATTCATACTTCCCCACCGAGTTGAATCTCCATAGCTCCGATTGAGTCGTATAGTATTCCATACTGTATACTAATTTAAGCGTTTGCCATGATAATAAATAAAAATTAATGGTGTTTGGTCCACTACTTTTAAGTTGTAATAATCCTATTTCTTTCCCTCCTTCTCATAGTCCGCTATCCAAATTATGTTAAAACATGACCAGATCTATCAACTCAGTCTATCTAATGAGATGAGATAACTTTCTTCCTGCTTGTTAACTCTCCCGCCCAGCATTACCCAGCAGCATCCCTCGCCAGCTAATTGGAAGGAAGAAACAATAAGCGTTAGCAAGAACTGAACCAAGAAAACTTCTCTCCATCGTTTCCACCTTCCTCAAAGAGCCTGTACCCTACCTACTAGAGCTGTATTCACCATCAAGCCGAGTCCCACGGCAGAAAGTGAGGAAATTACAGGAGAAAAAACACTGTTGTGATCTAGCAGGGGTTGTTGGGGCTTCCCGATAGCCTCGTGCCAATGGCTAGAATGTCGGGAATGGCATGGGAATGCCTGGAATGGAATGTAATGTCCGGAATGGAATGGCCTGGGGATGGATGGAATGGAGTGAATGGAATGGAATGGATTGAGCAGATCTAGGGATATCTACGAGGTTGTGTTCCTTGTAGTATATACAGTAGTTGTAATCTGCTCTGGTATCAAAGAAAAGAGAAAATCAAGTCTTTCCGCGGTCAATTACTCTCACTCAATCGCACGAAAACCCCTTACAAAATCCTTTTCTTACTTCAAACACCACGGCTTATGCCATCGAGTGATCACAAGTGATGGAAAAGCAGTACCGTATTCTCTCAGATCCACGAGTACCTGTGGAAAAGAACACAGATCATGCTGGACGCTACAGTAGGGTCTGTGATAGTGTTAGATATAGCTTCAAATCACAGATTATTGCAAGTAAATGACAAACAGCCGTATATGTAGCAAGACCCAAGTGCGAGACCAGTCAGTACCTACGGTATGGGCACGAGAACAAAACACCAAAACAGTATAGATCCCAATCATCCAAGAACCACATTCTATATCCATCCCAATTCCTTGACATCCTTTATATCCTACCAACTTTCATGGCCTTCCAATGCGCCATGTAGTGCTACGAGCCTTCTTAGCAAGAGGCCGTGAAGCACGGTAGCACTGAGCAGGAGTTCAAAAAGTTTCCTACACACCAGGGCCAAACCGTGTTCCTAGAAGTACCAAAGTTGAATCTTTCCCCTTTCTCCTGCTCGGTGTCAAAAGCTTCCTTAGCGTTTGCGTATACCGTAGATTTCAAGGCGCCATGACAAGAGCAAAGATGATAGAGTGGGAATAATGGAAGCCAAAAATGTACTTTGACAATATGAAAGTTGAGTATTTCTCCTCTACCTCTCCAAGAAAACTGACATTTGAATTGTCCACGTTATAACATGGCTTTTGTCCCGGTCTCCGAAACCCATGATCCTTAAGAAGAGAAGTAGAACGAGAAGTGATAAGATCTGTATGCTGCGCAGCAGAATGGTATAAAAAGGTTAATTTTGACGTCTTTTAAGTATTTTTTATCGATTCGTCCAGAAGTTCTCATGTGAACACTTGTAAAGGCTTAAGGACTAGAGGGAGCAATTATCACTGACATCAACAAGAGTAATCTTTCAATAACGAAACAACGTCCGGCATCTGTAGTCTATGACTGAAGAAAATTGATGCTATCGTATCGTCGTATGAGTCATACGCTGTCCTACCAAATTCCTGATGGGCAAAAAAGATGCAAAAAAGAAATGATTTGGGCGCGATTCGAACGCGCGCTCTTTCGAACTACGGATTTTGATCAATCAACCTAAACGTAGCGCCTTAGACCACTCGGCCACCAAACCATGTGTGGTAGCTTCAACTTTTACATCATATTCACACTGAGATATGCCTTGATTATGGAATACCAATCAACATGACCATCAAACTCTCACTCCAGCACAACTAATCACAAGGAAGCTTTTTAAAATTTATCTGCTTCCCTAAATTATTGCAATAGAGTTATATTACGAAGTTTTTGTTCTGTACCTCGAAGCAGCGACATGTGTCTGCGCGTACAGTACCGTACACTGTTGAACAAATGGGTTAGGGGTAAAAGTAGCTCCTTGGCATGTTCAGTATTCTACCCCGAGACAGCGTACCGTTCATACGGGCCCCAGCAACGTCGCATTTTCTTACTCCTTTTCAGCGCGTTAACTTCACCTCTCCTTGAGCTCACCAAACCACTCAAACACACAATTCTTCACTATGCGGTTGCCCATAATACTCGGAGCCACTGTTTTGGCGTCCCTTTCCTTCTTTACTTCACCTGTTGCTGCCACCGCCCTTACGTACAAGCTTGCTCCTAACGAGAGACAATGCTTCTACTCAACTGCTGATAAGAAAGGGTCTAAGGTGGCCTTTTACTTTGCTGTGAGTTTTTTCTCCCACGGCTTTCAAACGTTTTTTCTCGGTCCTAACTCTTCGGAACAGGTTCAATCGGGTGGTTCTTTCGATGTCGATTATAAAGTGACGGGACCCAACGAGAAGATTATTCTTGATGGGTCCAAGGAGAGGCAGGGTGATTTTGTTTTCACTGCCAATGAACCTGGAGAGTATAGCTTCTGCTTCTCCAACGATATGTCTACTTTTGCCGAGAAGATGGTTGATTTTGAGATTGCTGTATGAGCACCGCTCTCCTATTGGCCCGAGCTCTACTTAACAGGTATACAGGTCGAGAACGAAGCCCGTGCCGAGCTACCGTCTAAGCAAGGAACCTCTCCCGAGCATCTTTCATCCCTCGAAGAGTCTCTTTTCAAGCTCTCCGGTCAACTCTCTACCATCTCCCGTAACCAAAAGTACTTCCGCACCCGTGAGAACCGCAATTTCAGCACCGTCCGCTCCACCGAATCCCGAATCTTCAATTTTTCGGTTATCGAGTCCCTTATGATGGTTACGATGTCATGTCTGCAAGTCTTCATTGTTAGATTCTTTTTCCAAGGTGCACGCAAAGGTGAGATAATCCCCCCTCTTAACTTCTCTCATCCCCCCAACAAATCCCTTTATCAACCCATGAATCCTCGTGTTTGGTTTTGCTTGCCCCTTTCGCCACTCTCATTCCGCTAAAGCATATAGCAGGTTATGTGTAAACGGGACGTGCATATTTTTCTTTTTTCTATGGATGATATTGTTTGTATTACAACAGATATTTTTTCAGTCAATGGAGTTGTGACACCAAAAATTTTCATGAGCCATTCCGTTATGACATGTTATGCTGGATTAGGAAGGATGTACTGGTTGATTGTGAAGTGTGCGAACGACGGGATAGCATAGTTTTTTTTCCTTTTTTTCCTTTTTTCCAATGGTCACAAGACTAGGTAGTATTCGTTTCAACGGGGAGTTCAAAAGTAATTGACATTTGAGGGAACATATCGGACATCTACTATCTAACTAAGGGGAGAAAAACGCTGTTCTAAACGGAGGAGGTGGAGGGGGGTGGTGGATATCATTAGTGAATATCTTTACAAAAGACCATCTAATTTATGCAGAAAGAGATTCTTCTATAATGGAAAACAGACCCATTTCAGAGATGCCGAACAACTAACAATCATAAAGTAAATGAGATACCTGCCTTTCATATCATAGCAATAACGACAGAACCCAATTGACCCAACACCCGCCCACCCCATCCACTTTCCCCTCTTCCCCCACCTCCCCTCCCTTTCCAGCTCTGGAAATGTTGCAACGTTCGAGACATAAATAGCCACTCGTATGACAAACCGCCGAACGAACGAAGGATGAAAAGGTGCAACAAGCCTGTACAGCACGTATGTTAAAAAAAAAAACAAGGAGCAAAAGAACACAGATGGTATATGAATTGAGAGAAGAAAAAAAAAGGATACAAGAAGCTATGGAAACAAAACAAAGTAAGAAAGAAGGAAAGAGAATTTTTTACATTCCATCACCATTTTTCAAGTAATTCAACCCGCCCGGCCCGGCCATGTAGGATAGGATATCGACCAGTCAATCGGTCAAACCGGAAACTCCATCCGTGAAGAATACGCCTGTGAGGACAAACAAAAGAGTAAATAGTCAACCAAAAGAGGTACCGTAAGTAAAGTAAAGTAAAGTATAGTACAAAACTCCACCACACTTTATGTTCTTTTTCTTTTCTTTTTTTTTCCATACAGCGAGAAGCAAGAATGATTATGATATAAAAAAAGAATACTTAAACCCCATCTAAATTCAACTGCTCACATTTATTCCCCAACTTGGACACCTGCAAGAACACGTCTGTGCCATATCCATCCAGACTATGCAATTCGAGGCTACCGGCCCAGTACTCGGCGTATACTCTACTCATTGGCAGGCCCATTCCCAGCCTGAGGTTTGGAGGACGAGAGGTTAGTCGGGAGAGGGAAGTGTCCATGCTTTCGCGGCGGGAGTGCGTGTGTGCTGTTTTCTGGAGCTCTTGGAGTGTAGCCGCCATCTTTGGTACTTGCGAGAAGTTTTGGAGGTAGTTGTTTGCGCGGGGGCCTTTTGCGAAGGACCAGAGGTGTGGCAGTTCCGCTATGGGTATGCCGCCGCCTTGGTCGGATACGCGGAAGATTATGTGTTCCTTTGTGTGGCAGATTAGGATTTTTATGGGCGGGAGGTGGATTGGGGTGGTTGATGATGTTGAGGTGGATAGCTGCGTGTGGTGGTCGATGGTGGCTTGGATAGAGTTGCGCAGGAGCTCGCCGATTATGTATTCCAGGTGGGAAGGGATGTATGGGAATGTGGTGTCTAGGTGGCCCTCTATTTGAATTTCGGGAATTGGTGAGTTGGAGCTGTTGGCTTCACGGGCGAGTTCTAGTGTGTGCTTGCCGACCTGCTCGACAACTTCCCGGGCATTGCAGCGGAGGAAGACCTCGCCGACGAAGTCGTGGGGTTGGTGGTTTACGGAGTCTGGGAAGTGGAAGGGGGAGTTGAAGGTGTCTGTCAGTGCTAGGTGTTGTTCCGCTATGACTCTTCTTGAGATCCTCTAAAATGTGCGGGTTTAGGTTTAGCCATCGAGTGATCCATCAATGATATATAGAACGAGAAAAAGAAACAAAATCCGGATGATTTTTTTTCACATACACTTCTTAGGATAACATTCATGAACCTATCCAGCTCATGCGACGGCACCAAATCATTACACTCCAGCACGCCCATGGCAAGACTTGGTATGACGGTGAGATGCTCCTGCAAAGCCGTCTTGACAATCTCGCAGAACTTCTCGTTATCCTCGAGACTCTTGATCTCGGGGATCCTACGGAAGGATTCGAAAGCTTTATAATAGAGCTCGTACACCTCCGACAAATGCCTGTTCGTGACGACCACGTACGGCAGCTTCTGCATATCACGGATGCGGTGGGCTATGCGCAGCGGGAGTTCGGTGCGCACATAGTTTGCCGAATTTATGATCTTCTTCTCGTCCAGGTTGCGCCCGCCGAAGAAGACAAGTTGGCGGAGGGAGATGGGGTGGGCTGGCTGAGCGACGTAGGAGTCCAGGACTCCCGACGCACGCCAGCGAGGATTGTGTTCGATTGAGGAGAGGTGTCGGGCATTGATTTTGGTCGTTGTGGTTGGGGCCGTGGTGGGGAAGAGTTGGGAACGGAGTACTTTTGCATGTGAGCCGATACGGATAGCTTGACTCATGGATGGTTCTAGCGAGCTGATGCATTGTCGCATTGGCGACGAAATCTGAAGGATTGCAGACATTCTTGTGTAAATGCCATTGATCAATGGACAGGTTGTGGGGGGTGAGGAGTGGAGTGGAGTGGAGTGGAGTGGAGTGGGGGGGAGGGAAAGGTAGGTAGGAAGGAAGGGTCAATTGTATTGTGTGAAAGGTGTAGAAGGGGGGTGTGAGTGTGAGACAGTGGGGTGTGAGTGTGTGCTGCTGAGTCATGGAAGTTGGGTAAAGTTCATTAGAGTCGCACCTCGTTATAACGAAAGCCAGGAGGACATATTTTTCTTTTCGTTATAACGAGATTCCATTACAGCGAATAATTTGGGGGGGTTGTGAATGTTAGTAAGCAAACCGTGAGGGAAGAAAGAAGGAACTGGATCCCTTCTTTACTCACGATTTTCACAGCATTGAAGCATAAAAACTGTCACCAAAGAGGTATCACAGACCAGCAGATGTTTAAGAGAAAATAGTAGAACCTAAGTCACAGGCTACAGGAGGAGCTTAGATTTTTACGACCCCCGAGAAGTCTGGTAAAGAACTTGAAGAAATCTTCTACAACCAGGCAATCGAGGTGGGCCCAAACACACGCAAGGGTACACCTTTAGTCAGCATGTTTTCCCTTATAGCAAGATCAATTTGTATGTGGACGGAGGGGTAAAATCTGAAAATTCTTTACATATTCGTTATAGAGTGTCTTCCACCATGTATTTCGTTATAATGAGGAAATTTGTATGGGGAATTTGAGCTCCAGAAGGCGGGTTTCGTAATAGCGAACTTTCCAGCACAAAGAGGTCCATTATGTAACCTAGTTTTCATTCTTCTCTAGCCCGGGGTTATGCCCCGTTTCACGAACTTAATCGTATCTAGCTACTAAGGCGTGAGATACTCCCCCCAGCCAAGGGCCCCCTTAAAGAAATTTCCTCCACTCCGCCCATTGCCTAACCAATTTTCGTTGTCCCCTCGCCCAACCTAAACAAAAGAAACTCCTCCCCCCCCCTTCTCTCCTCTCCTCTCCTCGTTGTCCCCTCGCCCAACCGAACAAATGAAACTCCTGCCCCCTCCCTCTCTCTTTCCCTCGCCCCGTTGTCCCCTAGCCCAACCGAACAAATGAAACTCCATCTCCCCTTTTCCTCTCCCCGTCCTAGCCTATCT